ATCACTATTTCTACACAATTTTTTAATGTATTATATAATTTTCTTACAATATTTCTCCTTATTTTAATAATTATATACAAATTTTTTTGTTTTCTATGAAATTTTAATATTATAACTCATAAATGTAATATTATATTTAAGATAATTTAAATTTCATTCTGACATAGAAATTTATACATTTAAAAATTAATACATAAAAATTACATCAATTACATCAATTATATTGACAATATTAAACAATGGAAATGATAAATAAACAGATTAAGAATTAATATTACATTCAATTTCCATGAAACGTTAATGATAAAAAAAAATAAAATTATCAACAAATGGAAACATTATTGCTTTGTTGATTCAATTATTTTAACGAGAATTTTATTTAAAACAAAACTATTTACGTGCGTGTAACCAAATCAGTTTAAGTGTTATTTCTCTCGGTTAAATGGTGATATTATTGGATTTATATCTATAAATACAAAATTTTTTCACAATTCTTTTGAATTTAAATATGACCATTAGGTGCACTATGATTAACAACGTTAGAGGATACATTAGAATTGTCTCTCGCTTGGATCTTTAACCAGAATCCATCTTCTGCTAACATAGCGAAATTTTTCTTGCTCAATTGCAACGGATGCGAAGTTTTTGCGCACATTTTTAATTCGCAACGAGATAATAAATGGAATAACATAACTTTGGTCTCTAATAACGCAAATCTGTTGCCTATGCACATTCTTGGTCCAAGTCCAAATGGAATATATGCGGCTGAATTTATGCTCTTCTTATTTTCATCCAGAAAGCGTTCGGGATCAAACTCGTCTGGTTTCTCGAAATATTTTGGATCCCGATGTAAACCGTAAACAGGGAACCAAACGTTCATTCCTTTCTTTAAAAGAAAAGGTTTGTCTCCTGGCAATGCTGGAGGTAGCTCAAAATCTTCCACATTTAGCCTGTCCAGAAAAGCAGCTATAGGCCATTTCCTAAGAGCCTCATTGATCACTGCATCCAAATACTGCATTCCGTTTAGTATTTCATAGGTTAGATCTCCGTTGTTTGTCTTGAAAGCCTCATCTATCTCATCACGCAGTTTTGCCTGTACATCTGGATTCACGGCAATTTCGTGAACAGCAAAGCACATCAAGGAAGAGACAGTATCGAAACCGCCAAAAAAGAAAATAAATGCTTGCGCAGTCATATCCTCGATAGTCAGTTCCTTTCCAGGTTCTCTTTTTCCTCTGGTCTCCATCATCAATTGCAACATATCCGGTCGTACGATATTTTTTATGTCTCTGGTATGTATGGTGCTTCTTACGAGATCTTTGAAAAATTCACCTACGTTATTGCTAACAAATTTAATACCCAATATTTTGGCAAGCAATGGCATACTTCTGCTTATGTAAAATTTTATAGTGCGCAGAGTGTTGAAAGACGTAGCTTCTTTTCCGTAAACATAAAATTCGTTGTTAGGATTCCTCATAGAATCGACGCTGACACCAAATGCACAAGTTGCAATTACATCATTTGTATATCTAGTAAAGGAGTTCTTCATTTCCATAATATTTTTGTCCGCAGGTAAATTGGCAAGATAGTCAGTAAAATTGGCGGCACAATCGGACATCAATTTAAACATGGTTTTCATTTTACTAGAAGTAAAAGCCGGACTTAATAAAGTCCTCACGTCTCGCCACTTTTCACCACGAAGCGAAAACAAATTCTTGCCAAACAGAGGGTCGTTAACTTCATCGACGAAAGCACGATGATCAGGGAACGTCTCAAAATTCTTAACACCGATAGCTTTAATGAGATCAGGATCACGAATCATCACGATTGGATTCATACCATCAAAAAAACCGACATATTTAGCATCTTTATTTAGATAGTAGACTTTTTGAATATTTTCAGCCAGCGATACCTGGCGTAAAAATACTGGCCCCATATTACCCACAATAGGCCATGGTGGTATATGTGTAATTCCATATTTCTCAAAAAATTTTAAGTTTTTGAAGAAATAATAATATATAGCGATGGCACCAGTTAAGAGAAACAACAATATCCAAGTATCCATGATGATTGTGAGATTGTCGTATCAATATAGCACGCTAATCGTTTCGATGTTGCTAAATCACGAGTACACCGATGACTGTTGCAGTTGAAAGATTACTTCCTTTTATATAACTGATGCATTTGATCACTTTACGTAAGATAACATGTGATTATTATTATCGCGGATGGAAAGCGAAAGTGGGAACCACTATACATATACTGATATCACATATACTGATATCACATAACTTAAATAATCTCAATTATAAATCTTATTCCATATTAGAGTTCAGATCCTGATGTTTATTTTCTTGTGATTCGTCAATTTTTTAAATTTCTTTATATAACGAACTGCTCGTATGGCGAGATTAAGTCTCGTTAAGTCATAAGTGTATATATATATATATA